GAATTTAAAATCTGGCCCACTACCTATTTTATTAATACGATTTTATTGGAATATAAGTCACACTTAATTGTTTGTGTATCATCTTGAACTGCTTTCATGCTATAACAGTAGAGTTGAATAGTTGCAACATGGCTCTCAAAGCCTAAAATATTTACTTTTGGGGCCCTTTACAGAAAAAGTTTGGTCACCCCCTGCTTTAGGGAATCATCTTTTAGAATAATCAAAAATAAGAAAAAATATTTTTTATATTTATCTTCATTTTAACCGCTTCTGCAGATCTTCTTTTCCTGTGTCAATCCAGGTTTCCTTCTGATATCATATTCCTGAAGGTATTTCCTTTTTTTTTTTTTTCAGGAGTAGAATTCAGTGATTCATCACTTACACACAACACCCAGTGCTCATCACAAGTGCCCTCCTTAATACCTATCACCTGCCTAGCCCATCTCCCACCCGCCTCCCTCCATCAACCCTCAGTTTGTTTTCTACCTTTAAGAGTCTCTCGGGGTGCCTGGATGGCTCAGTCGGTTAAGTGCCCAACTTCAGCTCAGGTCATGATCTCACGGTTCTTGAGTTCAATCAAGCCCTATGCTGGGCTCTGAGCTGACAGCTCAGAGCCTGGAGCCTGCTTCAGATTCTGTGTCTCCCTCTCTCTCTCTCCTCCGCTGCTCATATTCTGTCTCTCTCTGTCTCTCTCTCTCTCTCTGTCTCTCAAAAACAAATAAAACATTAAAATTTCTTTAAAAAGAGTCTCTCATGGTTTGCCTCTCTCTCTCTTTTTCCCTTTGCTCATTTGTATTGTTTCTTAAGTTCCACATATGAGTGAAATCATATGGTATTTGTCTTTATCTGACTACTTCTTTCACTTAGCGTAGTATACTCTAGCTCCATCCACATGGTTTCAAATGGCAAGATTTCATTCTTTTTGATGGCTGAATTATATTTCATTGTACATATATACCACATTCCTGAAGATCTTTCTTTAACATTTCTTGTAGTGCATGTCTCAATTTTTGCTTGTCTGAAAAAAGTCTTTATTTTGCCTTCGTTTTTGATAGCTGTTTTTGCTGGGTTTAGAATTCTGGGTTGACTTTTTTCAGCATTCTAAATGTCTATTTTTTTCTGGCTTGTGTAGTTTTGGGTGAGATGTCTGTTACTTATCTTTTTCCTCTGCATGCAGTGTCTTTTTTACTCTGGCTGGCTTCAGGATTTTTTTTAATTTTTGGTTTTTAGTAGTTTGAATTCAGTGTTCGGGTTTGTGGATTTGGGTTTTGTTTTGTCTTCAGGTATGTATCTTGAGTGGGGTTCTCTGGGATTGGATCTATCAGTTGATATCTTTTATTATTTTTGGAAAATGTTCAGCCATTTTTTTTCCAAATATTTCTTCAGACACCTTTTCTCTCTCTTGTTCTGGGATTCCAAGTATATCCATATTAAACCCAGAGCTCTTCGATGCTTGTTCTGTTTTGGGTTTTGTTTGTTTTTTACAGTTTTATTGAGATATAATTGGCATAGTAACACTGTATAAGTTTAAGGTATACAACAATGATTTCATTTTTTTTCCTTCTGTTTTTGGTTTAGTCTGGATAATTTGGACTGACCTATCACTGATTTCTATCTTTGGCTGTGTTGAGTCTATGGATAAAGCTGTTGAAGGCATTCTTCATCTGTTACTATGTTCATTTATTTCTGGCATTACCATTTGAATCTTTTTTTTTTTCAATATTGTTATTTATTTCTAGGAGAGAGAGAGAGAGAGACAGCGTGAGAAGGGGAGGGTCAGAGAGAGAGGGAGACACAGACTCTGAAATAGGCTCCAGGCTCTGAGCTGGCAGTCAGCACAGAGCCCGACGCGGGGCTCGAACCCACGAACAGAGAGATCATGACCTAAGCGAAAGTCGGACGCTTAACCAACTAAGCCACCCAGGCGCCCCTACCATTTGAATCTTAAGTTTCCATCTCTTTGCAGGAATTCACCATCATTTGTGCATATACCTTTTCTACTAGAGGCTTTAACATATTAATCATAGTCCTCTTAATTTTTTCTGATAATTCTAACATCTAAGTCATCTCAGAGTGGGTTGTTTTTTCATTGGGAGGGGGTATAATTTTTTGAATGCTGGCCATCATGTGTAGAGCAATGGAGACTGCCTGGAAGTAGTGCATCTTTTCTGCCAAGTTTTTACTGTGGGGATTAAGTCAGTCTAGTCAGGAGTTGAACTGTGTTTGGGTTTTATCCTTGCAATGGGAACCTTCAGTGTGTCACCAGCTTCAGATTCCTCTAATACTACATTGTGCTTAGGATGGGTGCTAGATCTTCCTGGTGTTCTTCTTAATGTCCCTTTGCCCTAGCATAAAATAGTGGGTCTCTTTCCAACCTCTATCCCCTTCCCTAGCAGTAGACTGCTCTTGGTTTTGATTCCATATTTGCTAGCCTGGGAGAGGGGGATTCTTTGCTGTTTTGGTCTAGCCTCAGCCTTAGGTAGTCCATGTATCTCTGTTTCTACCCCAGATGAAGGAGACTGTAGTGGTCTGGCTTCAGAATGTTTTCCTATCCCTCTCCCAGGAGTAGACACATTTGTTTTTTCCCTTTCCCCAACCACAGTGGCCTTCACCTGTGCCCTGGAGACAGCAGAGTTCCCCTAGTAGCTCTAAGACTCCTGTTCTGTAGGAGAGAATGGTCTGAGCAGGGCTCTTTGCTTTTCTCAGAATTGGCAGCTGCTCCCCTCCCCAACACCAAGACCCAGTGGAAGTCTGTGGTGTAGAGCCTGCATGTGGGTGTGAACTCCCCTTGTGTCTGATGCTTCCAGAGGCCCTGTACTCATATACTAGTCCATGCTTGGCCTTTGACGATTCCTTTTAAGTTTTAGCTGAATTCTTAGGCATCTGTGTAATGCCTTATATTTGCTACAAGGTACAATGTAGTGCTTATGTCCCATCTTTTCCTGGAATCACCTCTCCTTCCTTAGATTTTATTCAGGCTACTTGGTTGCCCTACAACCTCATCTGTCTGATGGGTTCAAGGAAAGTTATGATTTTGTAGTTTATCTGACTTTTCCTCATTGTTCTATTCAAGCAAATTACGGTTTTCTAAAGTCAATTGAAATAGTTGGCTCTCTGCCTGGTTGTGCATTTAATTCAAGATACAGTAGATTCATTTGTTTAATTTTTCTTTCAGTTTTAAGGACTTCTTTTAAATTTTCAAAAAAAATTTAATGTTTATTTATTTTTGAGAGAGAGAGAAAGAGACAGAGTGCAAGCAGGGGAGGCGCAGAGAAAAGGAGACACAGAATCTGAAGCAGGCTCCAGGCTCTGCTAAAGCTCAGAGCCCAGCATGGGGCTTGATTGAACTCATGAACTGTGAGATCATGACTTGAATCAAAGTCAGCTTAACCCACTGAGCCACTCAGGTGCCCTGGGCTTCTTTTAAATTTTAATTTTGTTTCATGATTATGTGAACTATTAATATGACTTCAAGTCCTGTATATAGAACAACTTGTATTTGCAGAAACCTATCTTCTCTATCTCCTCTACCTTATTCCCTCCTTTCCTTAATGGAAGTCGCTCTAAAAAAATCATATGACTTATTTCTTACATTATATATGACTTAAATCATACTGCATGATTTATTTCTTACACATTTCTTACATTTAGAAGGTAACATTCAGGTGTGAGTGTGTGTCCCTTTGTAGCCCCTCCATTCTCATCTGAATGGTAGCATATTATACAGACTTCTCCACATTGCTTTTTTTATTTAATACTCCAGAAATAGTTCTTTTTTTCCTCCCATAAATAGTTCTTTAGAAATATTCCCATTCCTTCTTACAGCGGCACAGTTATCCGTTATGTGGATACCATACTTTGTTCAACTAGCTATTGATGCCATTTATGTTATTCGCAGGTTTTTGCTTTGACAAGTAACAGTGTAATAAATAGCTTTGTGTATATGTCCTTTTGTGTTTTTGCTACTCTATCTTTAGACTCCTAAAAGTGACGTTGCTGTCAGTGGGTGATCCATATATAAATTTGCTAGGTATTGCCAGATTCATCTTCAGTAGAATGTAGTACTATTTTGCATCCCCACCACAAGTATGTGAATACTCTTTCCCCACAGTTTCACCTGCAGAGTATGTTGTCAAACTGTTGGATTTTTGCCAGTCTCAACAGGTAAACATTTTTATTACGAGTAGTTTTAATTTACATTTCTTATTAAAAGCATGTTTGAGAATTCATTTTTCAGAAGTTCTTTGAACAACTTTATTCTTCCTAAAATTTCAGTATACTGTCTTGTACTTCCTTTACCTGCAGCTGCTACCCTCTAAATATTTTGCCCATTGGGCCAAAAACCATGGGAGAAGGGACCACATTTGTTTTCTTAGGAACTTCAAGACTCCCGAGTTTTAGTTACAGTAATCAAATTTGGTAGATGAACAAAAGAGTTTAAAAGCTTCTAGTCTTGTAATTCACTCTGGAAATATTATTTGATCTGGTTTTCCAGATAACCTGTAAAAAGAGTATAGATCAAGATTTATTTTGCTATTTCCCTGTTCTTCTCGGTTTCCCTTTAGGCTTCACATAATGTTCCTTTCTAGCCAGCAGAGGCCACCAGAGCCTATCAGTGAGCAGAAAAGCTACAGAATTTGGCTGTGCAAAGATGTGATTGCTGAAAGGTCACTTTTAAATAGCTTTGCAATCTTGCTAGCTTGTGTGTGCCCTGTGAAGATTTCATGCGTGAAAGAAACCAAATAGTTGAGGGCAAGAAAGTGTCTGTGCCATTTACTTCATACTTTTTTCCCATAAAATGCCATCTCCTTCTTTAAAAGAAATAAGCATTTGAGAATTTTAGTTAACCACATTGTTTATTGTCTGGTAAACTAATACCTTGCTTTCAAAAGTGTATAAAGCCCTACAAAAAGACATAGTCCCTACTCACTAGGAAATGATGTCTTTGAAGAATGCTGCAGTTGAGTACAGGCTTTAATTTTTTTATCAACTCTTCTCAGTTTGCAGGCCTTTCTGATATATCCATCTCACAAGACATCCCCGTGGAAGGAGAAATCACCATTCCTATGAGAACTCACATTCGGGAATTTGATAGCTCCACGTTAAATGAATCTGTTCAGAATACAATTGTAAGTGAGACTAGTTGAGAGAACTTCTGTTCAGTATCATGGGACTAAATAACTAATAGCACTTTGTAATATTTCTTTTGTTTGGTTCACTGATTTTCAATATAGTTTATTGAAATTTAAGATTTTCCTTTAGAGAATAATTGGTACAGTCTTTTTGGAAAGCACTTTGGCTATCATCAGTGTTAAGAATCTTCAGATGTTCAAATATTTTTAAGCTGATAATTGTGCTCCACATAGAATATATGGGAAATTTTTAAAAAATATGTTTTTAAAATACAGAAAAATATTAATATACAAAAATGTTCATCCCAGCAGTCTTTATAGTAGGGAAAAATTGAACACCAGAGGGGATATCAGTTAAATAAATTATGTGGCAGAATACTGAACAGCCATTAAAAATGTATTTACAAAGCTCTGTTTAATGACATGAAGAAATTTCTAGGTGAAAAAATTAGGACAGAATTATCTCAACTGTATTTTGAAAGGTTATGTTTGTATTAGTATACTCTTCCTCAAATGTCTTGATTCTTAAAAATCTGACTTCCAGGCTTCATTTGCCAGTTAAATTGGGAAAGTTGGAAACATTGTGAATAATGTGGTAGCTAGGAAGCAGGCTAATTGGCCCTTGGGACTTCACCTGTTTTTTAGTAGTGCTATTATTACTTTAATTTCTTTAAGGTATTAGGACGGGTGTATTTCTCTTTTACAATGCTAAAACTCAAAATAGAACTGGTGGTTTTGGTAAAGAGTTAAATGTTAGCTTAAGGGGTTAATAAAAAGTTAATAGAAAAGCCTTCCTTCTGTGGTTTGTTTGTATTGTGAAGGAGTTAAACTGGAATTGTAGTTCTAAAATTCAATGAAGGACTTCCAGGAAATTAAAATAAATTTTAGCAAATTAAGTAAGGGGACTACTTAGCAACCTTGGTCATGACACTGTAACAAGCTGTTTATGTCTTTCAGATGCGTGATCTAAAAGCTGTTGGGAAAAAATTCATGCATGTTTTGTACCCAAGAAAAAGCAATACTCTTTTGAGAGATTGTAAGTATATGAGGTTTTGGAGAATTGGCTGTTTTCACTGTATCTTATCATAAGCGCTTTATACGGCTAAATTTCTGTAGTAAGAAAACTGGATGAAAAAATATATAAATGAATATGCACATAAAATTTTGGAAGAATTAAAAAACTCAAAATGGAATTTCAGAGATTTAAAGATTTTGCTTAATATATTGTCTTCATCAATAAAAATAGTCTATATATCCTTACCTGCTATAGTGGACACTGCAAAAAATATTTCTGGAAGTTGTAAACACATACGGACTTTGTTCAACCAAAGAGCTGACAGTCTCCAAGGGAAAGGCAAAATGTTTAAATATTAAGTGAGAATAACAGCTAACGCCCATTAAGGATTAACAAAATTATTAGTACCTTTATTGACATTTCTGTTTTCAGAAGTATTACTTAGTCTGATGACTGCATTTTTTTTGTTCAAGAGTTCTATCAAAACAGTGTTTGCAGTAAATATGCTCTTATTTAGAATTTATTTTTAAAATTGTTAGACCTTTTAGTGTTATTTTCATGGTACTCTTTATCAGGAAAATTGAATCAGTTGTGTGAGAATAGTAAAATGATTTTGTACATGAGTGTACCTTCTATTTTGGTGGCATTTCAGCTATAATGTAGGGATGTCAGATATGACAGCATATCTGGAGATATGGATGTAGTGTCATAATCTTTTTCAACATAGTACATTGTGGATTGGAGCTGACATGATTGGCTACTGCTGCTGTGTGGTGGAAAGAGCATGGATAGATCTGGGTTTGATTAGTGGTTCCATCCCTACCTGTGTGATCTTGGATAAGACAATTAACTTTTCTGAGGCTCAAGTTTCTTTCTCTTTTAAAGTGGAGTTAATAACACATACCTGCTGGTGAGGATTAGAGATCATGCATACCAGCCACCTTGCACAACATCTGACATTTAGTAGGCACTCCGTAAATGGTAGCTATTATTCTAATGCCTTGCCCTCCCCCTACACACACACACCTCTTTTTTAATCCTAACAACAACCTTATGAAGAGTTATGGCTCCTGTTTTATAGATGAAGAAAACGAGTCTCTGAGAAGGTGAGTGTTTGGTTAGGATGACACAGGCAGAATTAGAACCCAGTTTTCAAGTTCAGTGCCCTGTCCGTTCTACCACTGCTATCCCACATGTGAAGATACCCTTTCAATTGTTGCTGTGGCTCAGTTCAGAGCAAGGTTGCTTCAGTGACGATGCAGAACCAATGTGTTAACTTGCTGATTAGTGATGATTATTAGCTATGTCATATGTTAAGGTCTATTCCCAGACCTTGGGGGATACACAGATAGGCTGGCACAAAGTGTGAGTAAGTGATGGCCCAAGTTTGCACTTCTGCCCTGCCCTGTTAGCACAGTCCTTGGCAAAGTGGCAAGGAAAAAATTCACCACTTAAAAATAATCTTTAAAACTCTCACAATCCAATATCACTTTGCACCCATTAGGATGACCATTATGAAAGAAACAGAAAATAACAACTACTAGTGAGAATGTGGAGAAACTGGAACCATTGTGCATTGCTGGTGGGAATGTAAAATGGTACAGCTGCTATGCAAAACAGCATGGTGACGCCTCAGAAAATTAAGCATAGAATGACTATATGATCCAGCAAGTCCACTTCTGAGTATATACCCAAAAATTGAAAGCAGGAACTCAAACAGATATCTGTACACCCATGTTCATAGCAGCATCATTCACCTTAGCCAAAAGGTAGAAACAATTTCAAATGGCATCAACAGATGGATGGATGAACAAATTGTGGTATATACACCATGTCATATACCATGTACTAATGGAATATTGCTTAGTTTTGAAAAGGAGTGAAATTCTGACACAGGCTACAATGTGGATGAACCGAGAAGACATTGTGCTAAGTAAAATAAGCCAGTCACTGCAAGAGGGTGTATATTATATTTTTTAACTTATATTAGGTACCTAGAGTAATTGAATTGATAGAAAGGAAAATGATGATTGCTAGAGGCTAAGTGGGGAGATATTATTTCATGGGTTGGAGTTTTAGTTTGGGAAGATGAAAAAGTTCTGGAGATGGGTAATATGAAGGTTGTACAATGATGACTGTACTCTCAAAGCCTGTACACTTAGAGTGACTAAAATGGTAAATTTTGTGAGATATAGATCTATATATATATATAAAGATCTATATCTCACAAAATTTATATATAGATCTCTATATATATAGAGATCTATATATATAGAGATCTATATATATAGATATATCTGTGTATTCTACTAAAATAAAAGTTTTAAAATACAGTTATAGAATTTTATAAATTAAAAAACTTCAGTGTATTTTTTAAAAGCCAGTGTATTAAGTCAGTTGTACTTGAATTAACTTTTCAATTGATAAGTTCAAAAATTTAACAAGAACAACAATATTTTATGAGTGGGAGGATTATGATTTTTTAATATCTTCCTAACTTGCCACAGTGATGTCAAAATTACTTACATAATGTGAAAAATAAAACAACGTAAGTATGTACATATCCATACTTCTTTAAAGTTACGTACATATGAGGTTAAAGTTAGACATGGTATACGTATCTTTTTTCATATTTGTTGAGGAAGGTAACTTTGCTCTAAGGTGTAACTCAACTGTTGGCATATTAATTACCTAACAGCTATTAATTGAGAACCACTATGCTTAGAACGTTGGTAGAGCCTTTTATCCTTTTCAAAAAGCTTTCATGCTATTTGCTAAGGTTTAACCTTATAAAATCACCAATATTGGGTTGTTTTTTCACGTATAAGAACAGCAGTTCTATACTAGCTCAATGTAATGATTATAAAAGGGAAGCAATGTGGCAGAGTGGAAAGAACTTTGGAGTAGGAATCAGAAGACCTAGGTTGTGGTCCCACCTCCATACCTAATAAGTATTTATATAAACTCGAGCAAGTCACTTCTTAGCTTTAATTCTTCTTGAGGTGAGCCTGATTATACTTGCCTTGTCTCCTGTAGTCTCAGTTTGGTGGGATGAATTGAGTCTAGTGTTTCTGAGGGTGGGACACCTAAGTCTCTTGACTCCTGGCCCATTGGTCTTTATAGTATGCTGGAATGTGGCTTAGTAGATGGGAGAGGGGTGAGTTGTGGGATATGGATTTGTGGGATATAGGAACAGAATTTAAAGGATATATGAAGAAGGGCATACATAATCAGGGAGCAGGGAGGGCAGGTAGACAGGTAAGAGAGGTGGGAAGGCTTGGGCAGGGAGAGCCTTGATGTCAGAATTCCAAGAGTGGGAGAGGCAGATATTGGAATAAAGATAGAAAATACTACATGATTGTTTCTTAACAATCTTCTGTTTTTTGCTTGCGTTGTAGGGGACTTATGGGGCCCTTTGATCCTTTGTGTGACACTTGCATTGTAAGTACTTACATTTCCTTTCTTTTGTTATTTGAGATAGACTATACATTTTTGTGTGGAGTTTCAAAATTGAGGGAAATATTGAATATTTCAGTTACGACTTCTGTGACACATTATACTCCTTATGATTTAAATCTAAAAAGTCAAGTAGGTTTCCAGACCAAAGAGTGATAAAATTAAAGATGTGAAGATTATGCTCACTTGTTTACCAATTTCTTAGTCTGCTTTAGCCATTTCTGTTGAACAGATATTTGTTTACTCTCACGCACTCCTCATCATTAAACTAAGTGAATTAAATATATATAGGTTTAAGCAATGTTTCTTTGCAAACATAACTCTTTAAAAAAAATTTTTTAATGTTTGTTTATTTATTTATTTATTTATTTTAAATATTTTTATTTATTTCTAGGAGAGAGAGAGAGACAGCGTGAGCAGGGGAGGGTCAGAGAGAGAGGGTGTCACAGACTGAAACAGGCTCCAGGTTCTGAGCTGGCAGTCAGCACAGAGCCCGACGCGGGGCTCGAACCCACAAACCGCGAGATCATGACCTAAGCGAAAGTCGGACGCTTAACCAACTAAGCCACCCAGGCGCCCCAATGTTTATTTAGTTTTGAGAGAGAGAAACAGAGTGCAAGCAGGGGAGGGGCAGAGAGAGGGAGACACAGAATCTGAAGCAGGCTTCAGGCTCTAAGCTGTTAACACAGAGCCTGATGCGGGACTTGAACCCATGAACTGTGACATCATGACCTGAACTGAAGTCAGATGTTTAACTGACTGAGCCACCCCGGCGCCCCAAGCAAACATATTCTTTTTAAATCTTAATAATAATATGAATGAGGGGCGCCTGGGTGGCTTAGTCGGTTAAGCGTCCAACTTTCGCTTGGGTCATGATCTCGCGGTTCGTGGGTTCGAGCCCCGCATCGGGCTCTGTGCTGACTGCCAGCTCAGAGCCTGGAGCCGGTTTCAGTCTGTGACTCCCTCTCTCTCTGACCCTCCCCTGCTCACGCTGTCTCTCTCCTAGAAATAAATAAAATATTAAAAAAAAAAAAAAAAAAAAATAATATGAATGAGAATGACAATGAGAATAAATTAGAGAGATGAGTGGAACAGTTCAAAGCAAGATCAAGTTTCAAAGTGTTAGGTTTTCTATACACATAGCATGTAAAGGGAGAGGACAAAGGAAGAATGAAGTTCCATTGGAGAGGGGAATATAACCAACAGCAAGGAAAAAAAATACTGCATTAGGTTTCAGTTCTGGGTTCTTATCCTGACTGTGCTATCAGCAAAGTGATTTTGCGCTGCTTAGAACTAAAATGTGTATAATGATTTTTCCCAGTTTACAGAAAACTTTTAAATACCTTCTTTTATTTTACCCTCATAGCAAGAATTGTTTTTTTTGACAAACTTATGTTCAAAGAGATTTAGGACTGAACCAAGATCAAATAGTGGTAGACCTGGGATTCAACCTCAGGTTTCCTTGACTGCCCGTTCTCTACCTCTGTGATTATTATACCTCTCTTCCCACCTAACCCCTCTGAGTCTCCTCTTCCATATCTGTAAAAGGAAATGGCTGAGGATCCTTTACAGGCTTGACCTTTTATGATTCTATATTCAACTAGTTTCTTAATGGCTTTTCTATCTATTTTTTTTTAATTTTAAAGTTTATTTATTTTGAGAGAGATGGAGGGAGGGAAAGAGAGCGTGAGAGAGGGAGGGGCAGAGAGAGAGAGGGAGAGAGAGAATCCCAAGCAGGCTTCATGGGGCCCGATCCCACCAACTATGGGATCATGACCTGAGCTGAAACCAAGAGTCGGATGCTTAAATGACTGAACCACCCAGACTCTCATACCCATTTTTTAATGTAAATTGAACATTTGGTGATTTAGGTAATAACATATAGTGCCATTATGCCTTTAATAACCACATCAACAGCAATAACCCAGTGCCTTGATGGACAGGCTTATATTAGAATCTCTGAGCATGTACTTTTTTAGTTTTAAAAGGTTAACATTAGAGATTATGTAGTTTAACCGAATTTATTTGCAGAGAGGAAAACTGGAATCCCAAGACATCAAGTGATTTACTCTAGTTTATGTACCTAGTGACAGAACTAGGATCACTTTCTGGATCTGCCTTCGAGGCCAGTTGATGTTCTTCCATCATACCGTGCTGAAGCAATAGAGATTCCAGACAACAAGTGATGAGTGCCAGCATTCCTTGCATTGGATTGTGAGGACTGAGAATGGAGTATGTACAACTGTAGAATACAAAAGCCTGTATTGGCAAACACTGTACAAAGGGCAAGACTTACTATGTGACATCTCTATACTATGTAATGAAAAGAGCTTGTGAGCTTGGTGTTATTTATTATTTTTCTGAAAAAAAATGACACTGAATCCAGGTGTTCTAGTCCAAAGTTCAAAACAGTATACGTCTGTAAAATTCTTAGGCAAAGAGAGGGCATTTAAGTGACTGTTCAACTACTCCATTTTAAAGCAAAGTCTCTTAGTAATAATCTGTATGCTTTGATTTTTAAAAGTTCACAGCTAAATAGACTTATATAGACTGTTTCCAGTTTTGAATGTCAGAACGGAAGCCTTAACCCCAGGATTACATCCAAATGTGTCTAATGGCTAGAAAAGTAACCTAAATGTATTCATTGTGAATCGGTGACCTGAAGCCCCTTGTGAAGGGAGCTGCTGCTATGTCAACTGCTTCCAGTTGTTGCCATGTAGGAATGTAAGCCCAGTGTTAGACATTCTTCTGGTTTCTCAAGAAAATCCAGAAATACATATGTTTTTGAATGTTTACTTATTTTTTGAGAGATCAAGAGAGAGAGAGAGACAGACAAAGTGCAAGTGGGGGAGGGGCAGAGAGAGAGGGAGACAGAATCTGAAGCAGGCTCTAGGCTCTGAGCTGTCAGTGCACAGCCCAGTGTGGGGCCCAAACCCGCGAACCACGAGATCGTGACTTGAGCCGAAGTCAGAAGCTCAACTGACTGAGCCACCCAGATGCCCCAAGATATACATATTTTTACGTGAAACCTCCCAACTTTAATGTTTTTTTTTTGTTTTGTTTTGTTTTGTTTTCTGAGGGAGAGAGAGAGTGTGAGCAGGGGAGGGTCAGAGAAAGAGGGAGACACAGAATCCGAAACAGGCTCCAGGCTCTGAGCTAGTTGTCAGCACAGAGCCTGATGCGGGGCTTGAACCCATGAACCGTGAGATCATGACCTGAGCGGAAGTTGGACGCTTAACCAACTGAGCCACCCAGGTGCCCCAAAACCTCCCAACTTTAAAATACTGTCATCTTGGATTTAAACCCTTCTTAAGCCATGTATGGACTGACAACCTCATGTCTGTGAGCTACATTTGGCCCTTTAGTTTATAACATCTACTTAACCAAAACGGTCTTCAGTGATCGTCTAAACATCTTGACAAGGCCGTATGAGGCAGCACTTGTCATCCTGAGGCATTTGGAATTTGAAATAAGGGAGCCTTGCCAAATATGTCTGACATCTTCCTTTCGTACAACCTACATATTACGGAGCTCCAGGTGAGATTTCAGACAACTCTCTGATTCAAAGTTTGAGAACCCATGCCTTAACTTTATTGTTCTAAATAAAAGCTGAAGCATTTCTCATGCCATTTCCTTGTCACAGAATGCTTCAAAGAAGCTCTGTAGATAGTGAAAAGGATGGAGGGCCCCAGTTTGCAGAAGTCTTTGTCATTGTCTGGTTTGGTGCAGTTACCATCACCCTCAACTCAAAACTTCTTGGAGGAAACATGTGAGTATTATTAAAATGCACTTTTTCCCTTGGCAAGTAGCATCTCTTAGATTTTTAAGGAAGTCTGACTATTTTGTTTTTTGTTTTTTTTTTAAGAAAAATGTATATAAATGAGGGCTAAACAGAAAAGTCTCTTACAACCTCTGAACAGAGATAATTTAATTAACTTACCTTAAATTATCTACAGTCCTTTGATAAGCTTCAGATGTTCTTTCCAGCTCCTGAAATCATATGGAGAATTTTTTGTATTAGAATATTATGTCCGTTTTGTGTTAGAATATTATGTCCGTTTCCAGTCTTTAAACTGGAAAAAATTAAGAACCACAATCTTAGAGGTTCAGTGGGAGAAGGAAGTCTCTAGGAATTAGAGTAGATCATCTGGTATCCTAGATGATTGATTGACTCTTAAGGAGTGTGAGAGGAAAGGAAGAAGAGTATGGGGAGAGAAAAATGAAAGCATATGATTAATACAGAAGCCTATCCTCATAAAATCAATGTTAAAGTATAGGTATTATGTATTTGGAGGAAGATAACGATCCATGCTACATAGAAATCCATGTAAGAAACTATCTCATGATACAGATCAACTATATTTATGATCTTTATGGTTGTATATTATTTTTTTAGATCTTTTTTCCAGAGCCTCTGTGTGCTGGGTTACTGTATACTTCCCTTGACAGTGGCAATGCTGGTTTGCCGGTTGGTGCTTTTGGCTGAGCAAGGACCAGTAAACTTCATGGTCCGGCTTTTCGTGGTGATCCTGATGTTTGCCTGGTCTATAGTAGGTAAGACTCTATTTATCTCTATAGTAGCAAAACAGACAAGGACATGAGTTAAGAGATAAATACGAGATGAAGAGCAGTGTACCTCCTAAGGCATACATGAGTGATATGATTCTTGCCATTGTTGTTCATAGAACCCTCTTTTCTGAGTAGGCATTTGATGGGGATGGTGTCCACCTTATGCAGGTTGGGTATATTGAGTTCTGAGATGTGGACAGTCACATCCTTTTTTTAAAAAATTCTTAAATAATGGATAGGGTTGGGAATCGAGATTATACTAGACCTAGCTCAGTTCCTGGCATATAGGAGGCATAGGTGACTTGGGAAATGACTTGGGACTTTTCCTGTGAAATTCATCATAATAAAAATAGTAGCTAGCATTTATAGATTGCTTATTACAGACCAAGCACTGTGGTGAGTGCTTTGTTTATATGGTCTGACTTAACCCTCACAACAGCCCTAATAAAGAAAAACTATTAATATTACTCCCATTTTTACAGATGAGGAACAGGCACAGCGAGGTTAAGCAACATGCCCTAAGGCACATAACTAGTGAATGGGGGAATTAAGTTTCAAACCCAAGCAGATCTCACACCTCTTTAGAAATGTACTATACAACCTCCCAGTATAAGTTGTTAGGTATCATTATATAGTACTTTTCTGCTTCAGTAGAAAATTCTGCTAAAGATTAGGAAGAGCCCGCAAGGGGCAGTGAATGCTATATGCTCATTGGTTTTGCAGTCCTCAAATTTTTGTAAAATTCTACCTTCAACTAGAAGGTAACTTCTTATTTCAGGGGATAGACAGCCTGCTTCATATTTTTTTTTTTTTACTATATTCATTTTGAGAGAGAGAGAGAGAGAGAGAGAGAGAGAGAGCATGAGCGGGGGAGGGGCAGAGAGAGAAGGAGACACAGAATCTGAAGCAGGCTCCAGGCTCTGAGCTGTCAGCACAGAGTCCTGTGCGGGGCTCGAACCCACAAACCATGAAATCATGACCTGAGCTGAAGTTGGATGCTTAACCAACTTAGCCCCAGGTGCCCGAGACTGCTTCATATTTTTAAGTGCATTATCATATCTTTTCTCGGGACCATGGTTAAAATCCAAGAAGTAATCCAAAAGTAAGGTCCAAGAGTGCTAGAAGTGATACTACAGAGACTGTATATTAAGCTTGAGCACTTTACCCATGGGAGGACTCCTCATACCCTCACTTAGAGTCTGGTAAGTTTTCATAATTGTAATTCTAAATATCCAGTGTCCAGGCTCATAGCAGTTCAGAAAGTAGAATCTTAGAAGAAGGGAGAGAGGCTCCTATAAGCATTCCATTTTTTAATTCAGCAAGTATTTCTTAAGCACAAACTCTACATTAGGCATTGTATTAAGCATAGTCTCCATCCTCAGAGTTCCTAACTTAGTGGAACAGCTGGGCAGGTAAACATTTAAGGGCTATAGGTATCTCAGGTGGAAGATGGAAGTCTGTGCAGGGTATGGTGAGGACATAGAGGAGGTGCGTGGGCAGATCTGCTTGGGGTGGCAGGATAACAGATGGTTGTTCAGGAAAGATTTCCATGAAGGGTGGTCACTGATGAGTAAAAGGATCAATCTCCTTTTCTGGGTGGACAAGACGGATGGCATCATAACAGAGCTGATAACTTAAAAATAAGAACATTTACTCAGAAAGCAGAGCAGTATGAGGTCATTTACCATAGGAGCAACTAGCCTTAGACATCTTTGTAATAAGCCTACTCAGCATAGTCCAGTAACTTCTGAGAATAGGGTAGGAAACCCCTTGTAGAAAGGTTTTCACGTAAAGTGGTTGAAAACGTAATACTAGAAACAAGTAGCTCTCAACTGTCTGGGAAACTATGCTGCAGAATGCCTTTTTCTCTGAGAATATAAAATATAACTGAACTTATAGTATAATTGTTTGTTCTAGACTATGCCAAGCACATTCAAGTTTAGTAGTTGTTAGTGGTTGTGATAATCTTATTATATTAAAGATTCCATTTTGTTTCATTTGTTTTGTTTAGCCTCTACAGCTTTTCTTGCCGATAGCCAGCCTCCAAACCGCAAAGCCCTCGCCATTTATCCTGTTTTCTTGTTCTATTTTGTCATCAGTTGGATGATTCTCACCTTCACTCCTCAGTAAATTAGGAAATGGAAATTAAAAACCAGTGAATTGAAAGCTCATCTGAAGGATGCAATTCACCATGGAGCTTTGCCTCTGGCCCTCTTTTATCTAATTTTGGAGGTATTTGGTACGTGAGGAGATGAAAAGGGAGCTATAAAGCACCATCGCCACTTATGTGAGGAACTGATATTTGAAAGGTTGTCCTTTTCCTCTTAATGTCATTTCTTGAAAATACATAGTATAGACAGTATAGTGCTGCCTTAAGGCATGATAGGGTCACCATGGTCCATTTGAGTGACAACCAATGATTTGGGAAGCACATGGATACATCCTGCAAGTTAAGTGGAATTAGTAACTGTATTTTCAGTTTTGAGAGTACCAGTACAGGTGCAGCTCTTAAACAATTGCCTTATGACTATTAGAATATGCCTCTCTTTTCATAAAAAAAGAATGGATAGTCTATATCCATTTTTTAAATTTCTCTCTTAGTCTTAAAAAGGCAATGACAGACGTTGGGGAGGGGGTTCATAACTGGGTAGGAGAAAACTTGCATTAACCAGTATTCAGATTTTGACGGGGGAAAATGCTACCCTTGTTGCTTTTTTAAAAAGCAAAGGACAGCTAAAGAATTGACTTCTTTAGTTTTTCCATATAATCACCTTTCTGCCATGCTTAATAGCACTTCAGTGATACTCTAGTTTTTAATCTTACCCCCCCAGCTCTGAATATGCAAGCTGTTCACAGTTACCATGTAATTTTCCTTTGATTAAAGCTCTCAGTGGACCAATGCTTGAACTTATCCAGGTGGAAGACCTCAAAAATTTAGATTGGTCGTTCCATCATGCATATTATTATATGGGCACTTTTTTCTTAACAGTAGAATGAGGTAGTTTGGATACAGCATAACTCTAAAGAATTATTCTGTGTAGTCTGGCCTCTAACTAGAAACTAAAGCCAAATCAGAAGCCTGCATTTAACCATGTGAACATAGAGAGATTTTAGTGTTCTGCTGGCTGGTTCACAGAACAGCTAGATGCTTAGAGCATGACATAGGATGAATTGGGTTTACAGCTGCCACCTTTTCATAGTGGGCTTAGCAGTGTTTTCATTAGATGGTGCTTCTCGGGTTGGGGAATAGCAATGTATTTTCTTAGTTTTAGACTATTTGTAAAGCTAATTAGCTCTTCTTTAGACAAGTACTTTTTCTGCACATGTGCACCTGCTTGTATTCTCAGCTATTTATACATACAAGTGTGAAGGATTTTCAGGGAGCAGAGTGTCTGGAAATGCTGATTTCTAAGCTAAACTCGGTTCCTTTATGGTAATATGAGCTACTGCCTTCTATAAATTGCACATTGAAGAACTCTTAATAGACAAAAGATTAGGAGTCAGGCAGACAACATCCATTGTATATACAGTTAATTATAAAAATAGGAATTTATTCCACATTTTTTCTTTATCACGGAATTGAAATATTTATTCATTTTGTATCTAAAGACTACACATAGATATGTAATTTTAAAAACATATTTTCTCCGTTCTCAGCTTAACCAAGAACAATACTAGGACAAATGTGTTCTTGGAGTGATATTAAATTACAGAGCATTACAAAGTTGGTCCCCTCTGTCCCAGCCTTTTTTTGGTTATATCTTTATTTCAGTTTCCCCTCTAAATTTTAAAATAAACCCTGTGCGCACAAAGCTAATGTTACATTCTTGAAGTGGTAAAGAAAGTATTTTGAAACTGGTTCCGATTGGTCCAAAAGTATTTCCATTGTCTGAAATTTTCTAACATCTTACCAAAACATCTCTCTTCCAAAGTGATTTCATACTCTGTCCCAATGGTTATAAAGCAAAATTAAAGAAATAATCATATTTCTCAAAAGGGAATTGTCTACTGAATTTTACTCAGGCTAAATATTTTGGTCAGAAATTTTTAAGGCCACAACTGGAGTAGGGGTTGTGTGTGCAGGGAGAGGGGTTATACATATTACGTGTTAAGGCAGCTTGTTCTGTGTATTAACCTGTTGGTCTTTGGTGACTTGAAGAATGGCTTTATTTTATTTAAATAAAGGTGGGTAAAATGGAGATTATCTTTCTGAAAATGGTCAGTTTTATGGCATAAATTATATTTTCTTAATATATGCACAAAAAAGTGCATTGCTTTCTGTGGCAGAAGACATGATTATCTTGAAGTTGTAACCCTCAACACAGCTTTCCCTGATTTGCTGCAAAGGCACATGGCTAATTATAGAAAGAAAGACTATAAGAGAAGGGGATTTTTAATAAAGGAAACCCTGTTCCAGGAATTGAGAAGTGTCATACTTTAGATGAAACTCAAGTGTGTGAGCCTCATTACCAAATGTGGTGCATCATTGTCGGAATGTGGTGCATCATTACTGTTGTGGCTTATCATTTGCTGCTCCTGCTTCTGAGATTGAACCTCCACTGTCATTCTTTAGCAATAGGAAAGGTAAAGACTGGATTTAATTGCTGTTCAGATCATAAAAACTCAACTGATGCAAACATATTTGAATGTGCCGTGTAGTCATAAATGTCAACCATACCTTTAGTTGTCAAGTCTTTTGCCTCTTAAGAGGCTTATTACATGAATTCAGTTGGATCTTTTTATTGTGATGGGGTTTTTCTTTTGTTGGACAAGGTGGTCCTTTCACAGAGCATGGGACTAATAAGCATTTAACTGTTTACTATATTTGTCTTTTTATAAAGTATCCCCCAGATGTGATAAGATGGTTAGCAAGCCTGTATTTGAAGATTTAATTGTGTACTTCTTATAATCTAACTACTTACTGTACCTGGACTTTCTGTTTATTCCTGGAGATTAAAATGAAAATCTCCTGTCATTTCAAATCTTTGTGTAACATCAAGTCATTGAAATTTATTTAAATGCTATCATGATATGATCAGACGACATCCATTGCATGCAGCTGTTTTATTCCAGAGTAAAATACTGACATTGTTATTCTTTATTAGATTGTTAATTTTTGAGACAATATGGATAGAAATAAATGTGTGAATGTTAATTAACGTATGTAAATTAGAAATACTTTTCTAGATTCTGTGGGCTTTTATTGAAAATAAAGAATTTCTAGTGACTTAATCAGGCCATGGGATGGCCAAATAATAATGACAGTAATATTACTACTAATAATGGTTAACATTTATTGGGCACTTACATTGTGCCAGGCAATATTCTATTTTTTTAAGAAATTTTTATAACAGCTTTATTGAGACATACTTTACCATAAAATTCACCCTTTTAACGTGATACACAATTCAGTGGTTTTTCAGTATTTTCATATAATTGTGTAATTATCACCACTCTCATTTTAGAACATTTTCATCACTTCGCAATAAAGTTCCATATCCAGTAGCAGTCACTTCCTCTCCCCCTTCTCCCCATCCTCTGGCAACCACCAGTCCTGCTTTCTGTCTCTGTAGATTTGGCCAGGCACTATCTATAAGTGCATTTTATGTATCTCCTTTAGTCCTTAACATAAAATGCTACAGTTCTCATTTTACAAGTAGAAAATTGAGTCACAGAAAGGTTATGTACATTTCCCAAGGTCACGCAGTAAATTGATTTAAAATAGGAAAACACCTGCTGCTCCTGGGTGGCTCAGTCGGTTAAGCGGCTGACTTTGGATCAGGTCCTGATCTCACGGTTTGTGAGTTCGAGCCCTATGTCAGGCTCTGTGCTGACAGCTCAGAGCCTGGAGCCTGCTTTGGATTCTGTGTCCCCCTTCTCTCTGCCCCTCCCCTGTTCACGGTCTGTCTCTCTGTCTCTCAAAAATAAGTATTAAAAAAATTTTTTTAAAAAGGAAAACACTGTAGATGAGAACATAGTAGGACACAGTTTTGAATTGCATTGTTATGTACATGAAATGAATGTATCCCTTGCCCAGGCTCTGCTCCCTATCATTAGCCATTATACCCTACAACTGACTGGAGATAGATAACTCATTCTTTTTCCACCCCCCTGAGTAATAGAACACTATATTAGCATCTGATAAAAACACAAGAGCAGTTGTACATTGGAAAGAGGTAGGTTTGATGCCACCCCCCACCTTGAATCCCTTTTTTCTCTCTTTTCCCCACCAACACACACACACACCCCTCCTCTCAGCCCCCAAAGTCTTAAGAGTCAAGACTTCTTCTTCTTTCTGCCTCTTTCATTTTACCTCTTTCACAGGGATGGTTAATGCATCAAAATTTAACCTGTTTATTCAGGTGTTTATAGTCTAGGGATCCATCTAGTCACCTGTAGTACCATTTATATTTCTAAGACTTCAGAAAGCAGTACTGTGAGAATAAAATCCTTTTTTATTTGGGTTAAACTAGGTGGGGGAAATAACAGTAAGGGCATTGCCTTAATGAAGTCAGTGGTTCTGCCTGGTAGGACGTGTCCACATGCCGCTCTTGTTCACTCTGTTCTCTTCATTTCAGAACCTTTTTAACTGTATGCCATCACTGCTGGTAATTTCTTGGTCCTCTTCAATACTCCATTTTAATCCTGATCTTTCCTATAAATAATGAATCTGTGGAAATAATAAATCTGTAAAGTGATTTGTGAATGGTAAATGTGCAAATAAAAACACTGGAGAAGGAGATTTTGTATGTGTCTCTTGTGCTGAAAGATGCAGACATATTTGCTGCATACTAATTTTACATGTAATGTATTGTCATCAGACAATATCGAATGCTGTGTAGGATTGCACAGGCGGCAAGTTAGTAAGATAAACCACATTTACTGAGCCAATAATATATACCATATGTTATATTAGCTACTTTATAAACAGCATTTCTAATCATAGCACCCTTTTGAGGTTAGTGATATATTATCCTTAATGTTTTGGAACCTGGGAATTTGAGGAGTTTAAATAAATCGCCTAAAGTCACAGTGAGCACAACCAGGGTTCAAACTCAGGTTTTATGACTCCACAGTCTTCTATATTGGTTCTTTGCCCTCATACCTACCCAATTAAACTAAGCCACATCAATCAGGTATCTTAATAACATGGTGAGAAACTGGGTTTTCACACATCTGATGGGAACTATACCTGTTTCTGCTTTCAGTTTGCAATCTACTTGGAGAAACTAAACTCACCATCCTTGCACACTAATAGTTGAAATGCATTGTGGTTCTTATTTTTGGTACCACGTAAGGTCTCAGAATGGGCAGTAAGAACAGGAGTACATCTGAATTATTGGGAGAATTTGTATCATCCAAGATGGGGGGTGGCATTCCAGACGGTAGAGAATACTTATTAACAAAGGTGAGGGAGCAGGCAAGTCTAAAGTCATCTACGTGCACATATGCAAGTGTGTCCCATTGTCCTGTACATAATTATAATGCTTTGTGAAATTTTTCTAGCTGCATTTATTTCACTTTGCAAGGTAGGTAAAGCTTCTAAGCTCATACCTAAGGAAATGGGCTCAGATAAGTGAAGCGATAGGCCTTGAATTCTAAAGTTGGTCTCAAGAACACAGTTGGAAAGTTGTTCTTAATGTTAATATTGACCCTTTTCTAATGATAGCTCACATAGTGAAGTGAATTCAACTGACTTTGGAAAATAAAGTTGGTTGGGTAAGATGAGACCAAATTATTGAGGGTAGATATTGAAAAGTAGGAAATTGTGAATAGGTCTTCCTGTGGTAGGAAATAGGATGTTTTCAAAAGTTCTGGAGCAGGGGAATATTTTGAAGAAAGATACTTTAATGGAATAAATGGCGTTGAAAATTTGGATTGCAACTAGGGTAGAGAAGAAAGGAATGCCAATATATTTCTAACCACGGGCCTGGAAGAATGGTGTGTGTTTGAGAATAGTTGTAGAGGTACTACTGAGTTTGGCCATCAAAGTGATGAGATCCTAAAGACAACTGGAAATATGAGTCTGAATTCTAGTAAAACTCATAGCTAGCAATGTAAATTTGATCTTGCAGATGTGATGTGTATTGAATATATTGTTTCAGTCTTGTTGACAAATGTAGTTGCTAAAGGGAATGACAGATTCAGAATCAGAAAGATGAGGAAAAGAAAGAAATGAAACTATTACTTATGTGCCACAGATTTCTACATGCTACCTTCATATTACACTTAACCTTTTGAGGGAGTTTCCTTCACTTTTACAGAGGTGGAAGCAGTTTGGATTCAGTAAGTGGCAAAGTTGGAATGTGAACACAGCTCCATTTCAACTCAAAAGCATATGCACTTCCTGCTATGCTCTGCTACCCTTACAGAAAGTTTTATAGTCTGAAAGCCTAAAAATGAATGTCTTGCAGAAAGTAGGTGTTCAGGAAATGTGTTGAATTAGTTGAAAAAAAAAAAAAAGTAAATAGGTATTACATGCTGAGTGTGGGGACATGATGAGAAATAAGAATTGAGAAAATATATTTTGCCAGAGGCCAGCTCTGGCCGGGTCCAGGGGTCCCTGAAGGATGGACCGTGTCGGCAAGGGAGGGATGAGAGAGCCACGAGAATCTTTCTGGTCACCAGGCAGCCATCTCTGTCCTGACTGGGGCTCAACTTTATTTTATAATTAAGTGTTTGGGGGATGGCACAGAAATGGCATTTGCCTTAGACAATGATTTCTGATGATAAACTTCTTTGATATGTAAGAATTTCCCAAAACATAGATTTGTAGAAGACTCACGCATAACCTTTATCAATAGTGATTGAGGTAGCTGATTTAGATGCTTATCCTTTGGAGAAGGAAGGTATCTTTAGCATATAAGACAATGTTTTTAGCATGAAAAGCGTGAAGTTAGTTCTTTGTGAGCAGGGGTCAATAGCTTGTTTGTTTAAGGAGAAGTGTTAAGAAAAACAGGTCTTTCAGGAAACACAATGTTTGCTCCCATAATCACAAAAGAAGTTCCTCAATAGGTTCCTTCAGGGTGCAGTCAGCATATTCAAGGCCAGAATAAGTCACTGCGAATACTGATCACAAGATGCCTTGGGGGGCTGGTCCTCTAAGAAGAAACAATTGGGTGGGGGTGGATATTTGTCCTTAACTCTAAATGAGGCTCTTTGTCGAGGCTCAGTTGTAACTCTTGTGTTCTTAACCCCCTTTATTACCTAAGTCTTGGATCTGCAAGGCCCATAGGAAGAGCCTTTTGATAGTCATCCACAGTGCTTTCATCTAATAAAATCTCTTTTGAAAAGGCAGGAATATGCTTTTCCTTAGGAGGAATCTGTGTGGGGAATATCGGTCTGATCTGGAATATTGTGAGACCTGGTCAATACCCGCAGGCTCATTTCCAACATGAGCCAGTAGTAGCAGAAGGAGATACCAGTTTTTGTTTCTCGTGGCAGGAGCTGTGCGAACGCTGCCATTTCCTCGCTGTGACTGTCATCCAGCGAGGCCGGTGCGGCTCCCAGCAATATTTGGCTAGAAGCCTGTGGAAATTTGATTGCATTAGTGTCTCAATATTTTATCCCTCTCTGAAGCCCTGCCTTTTGCAACGTGACTTTGGAGTTCTCAGTAAAAGGCAGAACCTATTCCCCACCTCTTCTTTCTTGGTGGTCCTTATAGCTTGCTTTGCCTAATAAAATCTGGCAAAAGTATTGGTGTGCCAGTTCTGACCCTGGAACCTGAGGCTTTGTGTGTTTTTATTTATCTCTCATTTCTCTGCCATATCTGTGAGAACATGCCTGAATTAACCTGCTGGACATACAGAACATAGCCCAGTCATCCCAGCCATAGCTATTCTAGATTACCCAACACCAACTGTCAGACAAATAAGTGAACGCTGTAAGACTAGAACTGCCCAGCTGTACCCAACCTAAGTTATCAATATGCAGATTCAAGAACTAAATAAATCCTTATTGTTTTAATCTACTGAATTTTGAGTGGTTTGATATGCAGCATTATAGTGGCAATAGATGGCTGGATACAAAAGCCATTATTTCTTTTTTTAGGTTTCCAGAATTATTAGAAAAGACACTGAGTATTGGTGTCTTATTTGTAGTCATATCAAGCACAGATAATTAAAGATGAAAGGAATCTTAGAGACAATTGATCCC